TTTTTTTTTATCACGCGGTCCCTTGATAAGTTTAAAATTGGTGCGGCGCACCTTCCTTGAGGTGCGCTGCGGTAGTGCGTTACGGACTTTAGGTCAGCAAAACAATTAAAATAGATTGTAATAGTCTAAGAAAAACACGTACTCAAAATACGATAACATTTAGCATGCTAGAAATGGGCAGATGGCACTGTACTACGCCATATCTTTATGTTTTGCGACAAACGACAACTTTATAAAATCAGTGTAGCAACTTTTAAAAATCATCATATCGTTTACTTGGCAAATTCGAAGGACGAACTTGTCTTAGATTTCACACATCTAAATCATGTCATATTTGCACATAACAATATACCTACTTACTTCCTATTAAAGTATAAATTCTACAAATAACTAATATTCAACAATATTTAAAATAAAATGAGCCAAGAACGTTTATCGATAAAAACTGATAACATTGAAATCTTTTGTACAGCACTAAAACCGCCATGTTTTGTGGCCAGATGACGTCACGGATTTTTTGTTGACGTTTCATTTCCATAGGTTTCCTACTTCAGTGGTTGCATGTAGTCAGTTGTGCTGTGTTGTGCACGCGCATCACTGCAGCAAACTACACTTTCGTCCAATTTTATTAGCCACACATTTTTTATCAACCTCATTTAATTTATATTGTTTTTGGTAGCTCTTTATCAACTTAGTACTGATTATATAATATTCTAATAAAGTAACATTTTAAACTTTATTCTCAAATTTCAAATATATGGTGTTAGGTAGTAAAGTAAACAAAATCAAATGATTTGTAACTAATACTAACTATCTGTACTTTCATGTTAGCATCAAGAATGTTAGTTGGAGCTTTAAAGCTGGGACCGATCTGATCAAATAAAAAGTCAATTTGATGGCTGCCACTGATTCGAATACACTGTGCTAAAAAGTGAATAAAATAGAAGAGCAATATGAGAAAAGTGATCATGTGGTGGACGCGTTTACCATAGAATTTATTATTCATGTTGGTGATGATGACTCCGATAGTGATGATGATCGCATATCGGATACCTAATATGCAGATGATTTCGATCATGACACATATGATGAAGATGAAGTTTTTGCCGCTAGTACTAGCTATTTTGGAGAAAGTGATATTGTTACGCCGGTAAGAGTAACGCCATCTATCGCCGAATAGTCGAACGGATATCGAAGGATCCAGAATGCTCGAGAATTACAACGCCATCTATTGACAGATAGCGGAAACTACGACTAGAGTTGTGTGGAACATTCTCGATATTTCTAGGGATGAGGTATCGACTATAAAAGCGTTGTAGGAATGGCACGCAGTCAGTCAGTAAAGGGAACTACTCAGAGCGAAACAGCGAAAGAATCACCAGAAACGAAGCGGAACAAGCGAATTGAGAGTTTTAAAGTATTTGTTGAGTGTTTGTGAAGTGTGTGTTTTAAGTGCTGAATACAGTTTTTAAGTTGTACTTTGGTGAAATTTTTATTTATCCCGAACCTTACCTTATCTATGTTCAAGTATAATTAAAACAACATAAGCACATAGTTACCTAAAATCTCTATTTATTTATTATTGCAATTTAATTTAAGCTCTAGACACGTCCTTGCGGATTCATTAGATCCAATAATTCTTGCATTAGACGCCTTAAGCTCTAACACTAGGAGCAGGCTTAGGGACCCCGATAACCGAACTCGACAAAGAGATCGACGTGCAACCTACCTAAACATCAGTCCGCTGAGTTTCTCGCCGGTTCTTCTCAGCGGGTCGTGATTCCGATCCGGTAGTAGATTCATTTGCGAAGCAGTTGCTCTTGAGTTGTTAAGTCTCCTTTGGAGGTGATCAGGTAGCTGTAAGCAAATCCCACCCCTTCTGGCTGAGCCCGTGCTCGCCCACCTGTCGTGTTGAAACAGGAAAGACCTTTTTATTTATTGCATAGATGGGTGTTCGAGCTCACAGCCCACCTGGTGTTAAATGTTTACCGGAGCCCATAGACATCCATAACGTAAATGGCGCCACCCACCTTGAGCTATGAGTTCTAAGGTCTCAGTATGGTTACAAAGGCTGTCCCACCCTTCACGCCGAAACGCATTACTGCTTCACGGCGGAAATAGCCGGGATGGTGGTACCTACCCGTGCGGACTCACAAGAGGTCCTACCACCAGTAATTACGCAAATTATAATTTTGCGGGTTTGATTTTTATTATACGATGCTATACCTTCACCGTGGAGGTCAATCGTGAACATTTGTTGAGTACGTATTTCATTAGGAAAATTGGTATCAGCCTGGGATTCGAACACCGGTGCATCGCTCAACACGAATACACTGGAAATCTTATCCTTTAGGCCACGACGACTTCAAAGGCCTCCGGGCCACCAGTCACCCTTCAACCATAAAAAATGTACCTAAACCAATCTATCTATAAGTACATATTGTTACGCGCTGGGGTTCAGGATAAATAAATGTACCACCAAAGTACAACTTAAAACTGTATTTATCACCTAGAACAAATTACAAACACTTTAAAATTCTTAATACGCTCCTTCCGCTTCGCTTCAGGTGATCCGTTCGCTGTTTCGCTTCGAATAGTTCCGATTATTGACTGAATGTGTGCCATCTCTGCAACGCTTTTATAGTCGATAAGAAAACCTCGATCGAACATTCCTCACAAGACGAGCACTTTCGATGCGTGTTTCCGCTATCTGACAATAAATGGCGTTGTACTTCTCGAGCGTTCTACATGTTACTAGACCCTTTGGTATTCGTTTCGGCTATTCGGCGATAGATGGCGTAACAATATGTAGGTACAGATGAGGTACGAGACCAACCTCCAACAGCTTGACACACACCGGCATCGGATCCCTGAGATGATTGACATATTTTGCCATGCTCTCAATAATCTCCCTGGGATTTTTGTTTTGTTATGTTCATATAGCATGGTATTGGCTTGAACTGTAGGAGTAGTACATACGATAATACGCAAATATAAATCATGTAAAAACCTTTCATTTAATGAACACGACAAATGGAATCACTTGGAATCTCTCAATCAATGGAATAAGCTCAGTAGATAATAGGCCCAGTATTGGACGCTGAGGATGCAAGACCGTCGTAAGATTGACACACTGGAAATGTGGTGTTGGAGACGTCTCCTCAGAATACCGTGGAGCGCGCACCGTACCAACGTTTCGATCCTGAAAGAGCTCAACATCAAGAAGAGACTATCGTCAACAGTCCAAATACGAATCCGCAAGTTCTTCGGGCACATCACTCGTAATGAAGACTCCATTGAGCGGTTGGTGGTGCAAGGGAAAGTCGAGGGCAAAAGATCTTGCGGACGATCTCCAGCACGATGGACCGACCTCATAAAATTTGTGACTCACTTCAACATAAATGATTGTTCTCACTCTGCGAAACATCGTGCCACATGGCGTCGCATTGCGAGAGCATCGGTATCGCAGGATCCGACTGATGCATGACCACGACCACTCTGTCAAGAGTGTGCGAATAGGAAGAAGAATTATCTACTAAAATAAATTCACGCAGGCGAAGTCGCGGCGCACGTCTCGTGAATAATACGCCATGTACTTGACCTCAAGGGTATCTGTTGTTTTTCTAATAATCTTATAAGGTTCTTAAATACAGATCGGACAAATACAGAAGTCTCAGTCGTGCTCTGTTGCTCGAAACGGTAAGTCATTGTTCTTATTCTTACTGTATTTAGATGTTCGTCAATGCTTGAGATGGACAGAAATAATAAGCGAAATCTGAGCCCATGACCACAGCGGGAAAGCTGCCTTGAGACATGAGGTCGAAGTCATAACTACCAACGGGATTAAAGTAGCTCCGGTAGATGCTCCGGTCCCCACGTGATGCCCGACTGACGTGACGCTCACCTTCCCCTCTATAGTACTAAAGACTATTTTTATTGACATTATAGATTCCAAGATGAGGGTGCTGTTAGTTTGCCTGGCAGGCTTACTGGTCTGCCTGAAGACGGCTGATTCTCACTCATTGCCGCAAAAGGATTACGACACTGACTCCAACAAACATGACATTACCGATCCACTGAATGACACCAGCGGAAATAATAGCAGCTCGGTCCCCGACAATTTCAGCGGAATCTTTGATTCTAGCACCACACGGTTCATCGCGCGTTCCGTAACTAGGGGTGGCAAGAAAGAGTCCATGGGCATCTACGCCTACAAGAACGGTAAATTGAAAATGATTTTAGAAGACAGCCTGGCCGTCTCTCCTTGGTCTTCGAAGTCGCGCGCCTATTTGGGCAATAAGGACGGTATCTACGTTTACGACACAGAAACAGAGAAGCTTGAGAAGTACGGCAATCTGAGTGACAACGTCATCGGGATCGCAAAAGAGAACCGCAGTGACGACCTGTACATTCTGACGGAAGACCACGTCGTCTACAAGGTCACGGAGGAAGGCACCAAGAAAGTCAAAATTAACGAAGCTGAGCACGTTGAGAAAATAGCGCTGGACTGGGATGACAACTTGTACTACATCGGAGCAAACGATCACCCGTATGTTGTCACTTCGGACGGTGCGAAGAAGATCGAAGGTCTTCCAGTTAACTCAACCAGAACGTTTATCTCTAGGCCTCCGATCAAGATAGAGCACGGAGCGTGGTTTATGTGCGAAAAACAGGCCTACATCATCTATCCCAACGCGACCAGCGAACCATACGTATTCAACGACCAAGAGAAGTTGGAACATGAGAAAACAGTTCGTGCTCTTAAGACTATTCTCTCACAGGTGGATAACCAACCAGTGGAATAACATAATATCTTCGGATTTCGCGAGTTGTAGAGATAATTAAAATGACAGACGACGACAAACACGACACTAAACTGTAAAAGCAGTCCTAATTATATTATAGGAATAACGTGTTTTTGATTGAAATGAAATCGGAATGAATCTTGTGGAATGTTGTTGTTGTTTTATTTCTTGTTTACCTGAACCATTTATAACTTCTATAGCATATGAGCGTAAAGTAGAGCATCCGATGTGTGATCCGATATGTCGCGAAACTCGATGGGCAATTCCAAAACATAATCCCTTAACGAGAGAAACGGCTGCATCTATGTGTTCGAATTGTATTAGCGGTTTTTATTTAATAGATGGTAAACTTAAAAAATTAAAAGTACTTTATCTTCACGTTAGTAATTTGATATTTCACTGCCGTAGTAACTAAAACTGTCCCTCATACCAGGGAAGGAGACCGTGAGATGCTGAGATGCTGAGACACGAAGCGCGATCAACATTCAGTTTGTTCATTTTCAGTTTTACTTGTACGTAAGACAAGGAGTATAATATATTATTAGAGGCGACTTCCTCTTAAGTCAAAGTCGATGGGCGGAGCCATTGATGACGAGCACTCACATGGACTCGTNGTAGTAACTAAAACTGTCCCTCATACCAGGGAAGGAGACCGTGAGATGCTGAGATGCTGAGACACGAAGCGCGATCAACATTCAGTTTGTTCATTTTCAGTTTTACTTGTACGTAAGACAAGGAGTATAATATATTATTAGAGGCGACTTCCTCTTAAGTCAAAGTCGATGGGCGGAGCCATTGATGACGAGCACTCACGTGGACTCGTGACGTCATCTGGAGGGGCAACCGACCGACCAGCGGGGACATCACGCCACCTCGGATCACTTTTGCTAGCAGCGCGCGCAGCGTTCACTTGTCTTAGATTTAATATTCTGTGTCGATCGTTCCTACCCACTTTTGTATTTTTTTTATTTACTTAAATTATTAAGCCGTTGCTAAAAATATTATTATTCGCACTACTATCGAGTCTTGTCCCTCAGATATACCAACGATAAATTCTTTACGGAGACCCATGTTGCGAAATGGCAACTTTACTAATCTCCAAATTTAGCAGTAAATTTACAAAAATACGAACTCAGTATTATCGATTTTTTTCTCTACTTATTCGTTGGTAGCCCAAGAGGCTATTCCAGTTACGGCCGGACGGCTAGGTGAGTTCACGGGCTCAACCTCAGAGAGCTCGCTAACATTAGCACTATCAAGAGCAGTACTTCGTAGAATCTATCACAGAATCGGAATCGCGATCCACTGAGAAGATGCAGCTAGAAACTCAGTGGGCTAATTATCGCCTTGAACTCGTGACACAGGATTCTGTTGGTGCATTTACAAACCACTCGACTATTAAACTACAATCTGAGCCAATGAAAATTTGGTTTATAATAATATCGAGTTGCCTTAAAAATTAACCGTTATGTCATGTTTTACAAAACTTAAAGAGAGTAGACTAAAGATATTCAAACTATCAGGCTAAACTTTTATTACCAAGACTTTGCTGCTTGTTTAGCTGCTTGCTACTTCTCATTGAATTCATTCGTCTCTTTCAAGTTGAATCTGCTTATCACGATAATAATAATTAATAAATTATTCTTTAAACAGAGTTCTCACCGAAATATTGAAATGGTCAAAAGGTGTGAAATTATTAATTTACTAGCGGCCCGCTCCGGCTCCGCTCGGGTCTTTAACAAAAATTTCAACGATACTTGACGTTGTTTTATTTTTTTAAATAAAAGAAGTCTTATTGCAGCATAACTATAATAGTTGTAAAGATGCTAACTATCGTGACACTTTTTGTAAATAATAATGTGTTCTACAAAATCGTAGTACATTATTTTATTCTATCATCAATAGTTTTCACAGGGCACGCTATGTAAAGAATATTTTAGGTAACTTTTTTACACCTTGGGTTGCATTATTAGAGTTTTAGTAAAGATCCCTAACTTTTTTCAAAAAAGATTATAGCTTATGTCACTCGGGAAAAGTGTAGCTTCCAAACAGTGAAAGAATTTTTCAAATCGGTTCAGTAGTTTCGGAGCCTTTTCAATACAAACAAACAAACAAATCTTTCCTCTTTATGATATTAGTATAGATTTAAAGAAAAGGAAAACTATGTAGCAAATTTCTGGGGGAACTGGAGTTCACGTGAGTTTTTTGTTTAGGTTCATGCTATCAACTTTTTCATAAAATTAATGTCTAAGTCACATTATTTTATATTTATTTATATGTTAAAGAGGAAAAGTGTTATATTATGGGTATGACGACATCAAGATGAAGGATTTTTTCTGCATTGTCAAAGGTCGGTAGATTACGACTCAAATCGTATTTTGTGTGAAAGTTCAATATACTCGTAATATTACTGTAATCTTATTATACACGGAACTGTCAATGACACATTACAATACAATTATTTACTTATGCAAATGTTTAAAACTTGAAAACTTAATACTTATAATGGGTAGGACTCTTATGATAACCAGGTCATAGGTTATATATACTATAATATAATAGTTATAAATATATTATAATTAATACAAATACTATGTCATATTGTGGTTCAGCATCAATTTTCTTTCTAGATACGGAAAAGATACAGCTAATAATCTACTATATAAAAATAAGTCGGGGTTTCCTTCCTGACGCTATAACTCCAGAACGCATGAACCGATTTTCACGGTTTTGCATTCGTTGGAAAGATCTCGGGCTCCATGAGGTTTATAGCAAAGAAAATTCAGCATTCAGCATATTCATTCAGAAAATTTTCAACAGAAAAGCGGGAACATCTTTTTTCACATACAGCGCCATCTCTGATACATAGCATGTACTACAAATCAACATTTTAAGTAGATGGCGCCCGTGCGTGATACATTGTTTGACAGCTAGGTACTCATAAGGTGAATGAAGTTAGCCCCTCAAAAAAATTTTTTTTTCCTATTTTATACTTATTTTCTATTAATTCGTTTGTTCATCATTTGTTCATGATTGTTCACTGTTAATAATTGTTTGTTCTGCATTAATTTATTTAAAAAAAATATTTAAAAATATACCTACAAGTTAGCCCCTCTAATGCAATTTTTAATATTTTTTCATCCTTAATGACTCGTAAATATTCATTTTCGATTGTTCTTATATAAAACACGTATGTTCTCTTTTGAAATTACTCGTTTTTTGTTTAATTTACTATTTTTATTAGTTGAATAAATGTATGCAAAATATGTGTACTGCGCATGCGTCAACTATAATGCCTAAACTTTCTACGCGGTTTTAATTGTGAAAAAAAAAACAAATATAAATCCTGAAGGAGCAATTAATTGGTATACAGTTTAATTAAAAAAATTAAAAGATAAATAAATGAAATAATGTGCATTGGCGTTAAGTTAGACCAAATACATTTTTTCCATCCTCTTACCTATCGTATTAAAATGTTATTTTACTAATGTTAGGAATATAATTTCGACTGTGTAAAAAAGTTATTATAATGTATACCTATATTATCTCTTGAAAGATAAATAATGAACATATTTACTTATTTGTTTATATTACCTATGTGAACTCCCTATCTTTTTTATACCTTCATAACGATAAGTAGGAGGATGGAAAAAATGTATTTGGTCTAACTTAACGCCAATGCACATTATTTCATTTATTTATTTTTTAATTTTTTTAATTAAACTGTATACCAATTAATTGCTCCTTCAGGATTTATATTTGTTTTTTTTTTCACGATTAAAACCGCGTAGAAAGTTTAGGCATTATAGTTGACGCATGCGCAGTACACATATTTTGCATACATTTATTCAACTAATAAAAATAGTAAATTAAACAAAAAACGAGTAATTTCGAAAGAGAACAAACGTGTTTTATATAAGAACAATCGAAAATGAATATTTACGAGTCATTAAGGATGAAAAAATATTAAAAATTGCATTAGAGGGGATAACTTGTAGGTATATTTTTAAATATTTTTTTTAAATAAATAAATGCAGAACAAACAATTATTAACAGTGAACAATCATGAACAAATGATGAACAAACGAATTAATAGAAAATAAGTATAAAATAGGAAAAAAAAATTTTTTTGAGGGGCTAACCTCATTCACCTGTACTCATTGTTCTCTGCTCAGGGGGCATATTCCGCCCCGACTTTAGAAAACGTCACTTTGCTGGATGTCATTTTGAAAACCAACAAAACGTTTAGAAACCTTTTGAAATAAATAACGTTTTACAACATTTTTGTTTGTTACTTTATATTCTTTTTAACATAAATCGAACTAAACATATAACATAGATTATATTTATAATAATCTCAAAGCTAAGAACCCAGGAAAAATAATAAAAAGTTAAATTTCTTATCGATTAAATTCTTATTTTAAATCTAATTACTAAACGAATGTTTACCGCATGCTCATATCCTAATTTGGTTGCTGACCAAATTACATTCAAATGAAGTGGATGACATCGTATCAGCTGAAATTCCTGATCCAGTCACTAATCCCCATCTACACGACATTGTGACGACACAGATGGTGCATGGACCGTGCGGTGCATTAAATCCATTATCGCCTTGCATGGCTGATGGAAAGTGCACAAAACGATATCCGCGACCGTTAGTTGCTGAAACAGTCACAGGGAACGATGGATATCCAGTTTATCGTCGGCGTTCAAAAGAAGATAATGGTCGAACTATCAAAGTTAAAGTTCAAAATCAAGAGATTGAGATCGGAAATGAATTCATTGTACCATATTGCCCGCTGCTATCACGATTTTTCGAAACACATGCAAACGTTGAGAGTTGTCATTCGGCCAAATCAATCAAATATTTGTGCAAGTACGTCACAAAGTGCAGGGACATGGTTGTGTTTGGTATTGCGTCGGAAAATGCGAATGACGAAATCAGCAACTTCCAAATGGGCAGATACGTCACTACTAATGAAGCACTGTGGCGATTA